GGTAATGCAGGTATTCTCATGCGTTCCATTTCCAGATCGATAAACTTCTCACAGCATAAAAAGCTAGGTAACTCTTTAAACTTAATATTGCAACGACAGAGGTCTACCCGACGGGACAAAATGGTATGCAATACCATGTCTGTGATAATTCTACGTCTTAAATTAAAAATGCCCATGTGTGTCCATAGAAACCCGGCCATACCTATCTCAAGGCTCTCATGTCCGCATAGAAACCTGTAAACGGGGTACTCCATCACTTTTACGCAACTCCTATACTCTCGCCTTCTTCGACCATTTTAGCGAGCGCCCATTCCAAGGTTTGTCATAGCTAGTTCCTTTACAGATACGCATTTGCGTGGAACAGATTACGATCGAAACCTAGAGCACTAGGTAACAATGTACAGCATCACGCCGCATTAAGCGAATACCTGAGTGCCATTTCAGCATCGAAATTCGTGAACATCAGCACGTTCACTGACGAGGTATGGGAACATGGGCCTGATCGATCTCAGTGATGTATCCTTTCGAACGTGCTATGGAGCAGTTAACATACATGTCGCCCGTACTCGTTCTTAGTTATCGTATTTGGCGGAACACATCACTGTGGACCTATTTCTCCAGTCACAACAGATTACATCCGTATAACGGTCTTTTCACATACATAACAGTTAATCTGTGCACTATTCTGTATTGTAACCGCATATTCTTCAGATTTTCGTGCAACCACTGAGGAAAAATCTTTCACTATGCATGAGTGATGGGCATCTTGCTTTCATAATAATAACGCTAGAGCACTAGTCCAACTGCACATCAATCGTTCCAGCTCAAACAACCTTCATCTGCAGCACGTATTCCATTCATGCTCGTCATGACCATGACGTGGGTTATTTTGCAGAGCCTGATTGATAGGCTTATCGACGTGAATGAACAGAGGCTGCGGGTCAAGCAAAACACCCGTCTCGGAAAGAGAGAAGAGGGGAAATCCCGGCCTCTGTGAGTCACGTTTGTTGATGCAACGAGTCCGAGGCTGACACTATCCCGCCTCGGTAGGCTAAGAGGTCTAAAGATCCATATTCGTCCCGATTTGGATCCGTCGGACAGAGAAAAACTGAAGTCCGTTATCGTGGAGTTGAAGCGGCGGACTGATACTGAAGAAAGCAATATCCACCTTGTAAATTTTCGGGTAGTGCCGCGGGTCCGCCGAACCCGGATCAGCAGATCGATGACGCTACATGCACGTCTGCCGGTTGCTACCGCGCCCTGCGCTAGCCTTCACTAATGTTTGTAATTTAATGAACTAGCGTGAAGAGGTATTTCATTCCGTTGCCTCACGTCGTCCGGACGTAGTAGGACTGACCGAAACCTTGTCAAATCCTGAGGTCCCTACCCAGGAAATCCAGATCAGTGGCTACTCGGGTTTCTGGTGCGACAGACTATCAAACGATCGAGGAGGCGTGCTGTTATACATTCGGTCCTCGCTGTGCGGAAAACTGGTACACACCTACCGCAACGAAGATAGCTAGTGCGAACAGTTATGGTGCTCGATCCGCCTGAAACAGGGTTAACTGTTTGTGGATGCAGCTTATCGCAGCCCGCGAATGCGATGCCTAGACGGGTTGCTGCATGTCAGAAACTACATGAGTCCGCGCCGGTTCCTGCTTATGGGTGATTTTAACTTCCCTCGAATAGGGTGGCCTGAGGTTCAAGTTCTCCCAGGACACCATGAAATCGAGGCGCAGTTTGCGGAGATGGTATTTGAAACTGGGGCAACACATGTCTGCCAACCGACGCGCGTTACACCGCATTCTGCTCCTTGGTGCCTGGGCCTGTTACTAACGAGTTGCGAGCAACGTGCACATGAAATTCAGGTCTTGGAGCCTCTGGCAGCTAGTGAAAACTCAATGGTGTTAGCAAGCCTAGAGCTAAAACTGCCCTACTCGTGTCTGCCGGGGCCGTCCTACAATTATTGGGAGACCGACTTCAATGGTCTAAATCAGGCCGCCAGTGAAGTAGACTGGTCGCTGTCGCAGCATTTATGTGCTGAAGCCAGTTAGTTTGTCAGTGAAGAGGATGTGCAATCGTTGTGTGCTCGTTTCGTACCCTCAAGTAACGGAAAGCTGGACCAGCGAAGCCGCAGGGTATAAAGAGAGAGTATAGTCAATTGGATCGATGGCGACGCGTATTGTAGAATAAATTCCTCCTGTCTAGCTCTGCCGACGATTGTGAAACGTACAAAAGGCAGCGGAATCTATGCAACAGTGTAAAAGCGTCGGCAGTTCGAAGAGGAGCTTGCAACCTCAGCAAAGACAGCACTTAAGAAGATTTTTGCTTACGTGAAGCGGCGCCTGAGGTTCGCAAGTGACGCATCTGTGTTAGAAGGCACTGACGGAGAGCCTCTGACCTCCAGAACTGAACGTGCGTCCGCATTGGCGGAGCATTTCGGTTCCGTATATACAAGTGGACATTCGCTTATGCCGATCTCGACGTGTGCAGCCCTTAATAAACTCGAGGGTCTTGATTGCGGCGTAAAAGATGTCCACAGTCTACGCGCCAGTCTTGATGGCACAAAGCCTGCCGGACCCGATGGACTTCCCTCGCTAATTTTGAAGTTCTTATCGGGCATCATCTCGCCAGCCGTGACGAATCTGTTCAACCGATCGCTGCCCGAGTGCATTGCGGAGCAACTGGAAATGTTAGGTAGTGAAGCCGATTCCAAAAATTGGTGGCCTACGCAATGTGGATAATTACCGGCCGTTTGGTTGCACCTATTTTGGCGACGGAGATCGAGAAGATGGTGGAAAAGAATCTTCTCCAGCTTCTGGTGTCGAAAGACCTAACGCCGGCGTAGCACAACTTTATGAAGGGCTTCTCGTGCATCACCAACCTGCTGTTGACGCGGTAGGAATCGTTGCAAGCGTAGAATCGGAGGAAGTCAGTGGATGATATCTACATTGATTTCAATAAAGCTTTCGATAAAGTGAACCATGAGGTTCTGCTCCACAAGCTGAGGATTTGTGGTATTGGTGGCGCACTGCACCAGTGGATCAGTGACTTTCTTATTGGGAGAAGATGGCGGGTTCAGGTGGATGAATGGTACCTATCCACTATCGGCGTACCCCAAAGCACAATGTACTGGGGCTCATTTTATCCCAGATCCATATCAACGAAGTACCTCAGCTTCTTCGGTTGCCATGGGCATTATTTGCGGATGACCGAAAGATTTGGAGGATTGATTCGCCCGGCGACTGTGACGTCGTTCGGCAGGACCTCAACCAACTATCCCGGTGGTCAGCAGAAGTTGACCTACCGGTCAACACAGCCAAGTCATAGTTTACGAGCCTGGGGAGAGGTAGTAGTGGGCGTGCATACACCCTAGCTGACAACCCGCTACATCGCACCAGTTCTGTAAAGGATCAAGGCGTACTCTCACGTTGTGATCTGAAGTCTGTCGACAACACGAGCACACTGTACGCAAACGGACTATACCTGCTTTGGGCACATCGACGCAGCTTCTGCACTTGGTCTGAGGAGATTGCCACCCGTCTTTCCTCTTCCATAATAAAACCGGTGCTTGAGTAAGGCTCACCCGACTATTGCCCGATCACAATAGGTGAGGTGCAGAGACTGGAACGGGTCCAACATGTAGCTACCCGGCTCATCCCCAGTTTAGGGGATATGTCGTACAAGGACCGATGCAGGAGACTAGGGTTTTATACCCTGTCATATTGTCGGCTTTGAGTTGATTTCATTATCACGCACCGGGTACTGCACCTGGGCCACTGCCCTAGGTTGAAGCCGGTGCTGCAGGTTCGTGCACTAAGCAGCACACGCGGACACCGGTACAAACTAGTGGTACCGGATTTAAAGCGCATGGCTCACCCTCTATGCTTCAAACACCGAGTGGTGAAATATTGGGACAAATTGCAGGAGACGCTAGTGGAGGTGAAATCGGTGTCGGAATTTAAGAGATTTCTTGACGCCCACATTGCGGGTTACAGGTATAGGGAGCGTATCGCACCCGGATAAGATGTAGCACAGCTGCAATATGCTGCCACCGCGCAGGAATCAGCGACGTGATTCCGCGCAGGTGCCCGATCCATCTGCGATGGAGCAACACAGATTTTTATCTTTCCCTCTGTTCACAATATTCAGTATTCGGCTGTTTCCTACTCTGCTGCAACGACAGACCTTACAGAAGGCCAAATGTTTGCCTGCATCTGACTGACACACATAAACTGCCACTTCGAGATACTTTTTGTGCGCTAACGACCAACATGTAATCGATACATTGCTTTTCGGGTGACTGACCGCGCCAAATAAGGTGTCATGCCAAATCGAAAGTATACGCATTCGGTTAATTGCTTGAACAGCCATTTGCTTTTGACGAACACTGCACAAATTGGTTGAACCAACAACCTGGACCATATCTCGTACTGTCGGGAAGTAAACTGCTCATTTAAAATTCACTGTACAATGTATCTATCAGACAGTAGCTATTCCCCAGCGTCAGAAAACGAGGCATCGGAGTAAACGCAAGTAATATCATGGCAAAGAGAGTCCTGGTATCACGAGATTCGTAATTTGATGTGTAGATTAGGAGAGAAAAAAACAGGAAACGCTACACACACCGGGTACACTTGAGAAACTGAAAATGTATCCACTGGGTAACCGTGACTAGAATGTGTCAAAAACAGCAGCAGCAACACGGAACAAAACAAATACGATATGAAACGAGCTTTGAGACGCTAAAAGGAAATGCATTCTGACACGAAGGGACTTGGAACGCCTCAGGTCCAAGGTATCAAGCTCCGATTTCACCCGGGAACGTTTTTCGCATCGAAGCCACAGGGAAGATGGGCGTGCTAAACCGCCTGCGTAGTAGGGGCAGCGAAGTAACGATCGGTTGGAGTGCACGCACGAGAATGCGTAATGGACGAGGCGAAAGATATGACCTGATGAAGAGAGAAGTGATACAAGTACTCTCACACACACTCACGCACTTCGTGGTCAGCATTTTGGGAAATCTTTCTTTGGCACGGCGCTCTTTTAGCAGACGACGAGCCCGGCGTGACTTGCGGCCCTGGAGGAAGGAAAATGAAGGGAAATCAGTGCGTGTTATTCCTAGAGATGAGGGTAAACAGCAAAGAGGATAGCTAAAAGTGGAAGATATCAAATTTCCGCTCGTTTCTAGGGGTAAACTATGAACAAGACATCCTATTGAGGATACGAATCTCTCTAACAGAGAGGAATAATGCTGGATGCTGACAGAGTAGGAAACACCACGGATGATGACGGAATACTGGTCAATAGGAAGCAGTAAGTGATTTGGAAGATTCGGAGTGCTTTCGTGACAATCCGAGCGTAGTCTTACGGATGCAAGATCCGGAGACGAGCCGTTCAACGGCAATTGTTAAAACAGCTGATAATGTCATATAATAGTTGATGGCCTAGTGAGGAAGGTGGTGTATACAAAGACAAAACACCTTCGTATATCAATAAGGTACACAGTAGTGAAGAAAGAGGCGCTTCAAATGAAAGTTAGCGAGTTGAGCACGCAGGACTCCGACGTCACAAGTGGCTTGGTACCATATGTCGAAATGAAGATTGGGTAGTAAGGACATAGAATCCAAGAGGATTCAACGGGAATACGTGCTGTAGGTGAGCCTCAAGGGGGAAAACGCTCGTTCATCGATTCTTCGGATGGCGGCGGATATGTGACTGAGTCAAACGGTGACGAAATCAAAAGGAAGAGGACAGTGCTCGTAGAGAAGTTGCGGTGGAAAGTGTCGGCAACGTGGGTTAATCTATAGGGTGCTAAATATTCGTACAAACGATGAACCACTGTTTGAACGTAGTCGGAATAACCATGATCTCAACATCCCTTGAAAGAATGTAAATTTAAACATCAGCCACAACGATGTAGGGAAAGACAACTAGTGATGGAACACGTTTGACTTCGAAGAAGTAGATAATCCAAGGGGCCACGGCATGGAAAATCCCAGCATGCTTCGGGCATGTAGAGGGTCAAAAAAAGCCTCCATGACCTCACTCTGATGAAGGTTAGACCGGTTTGGGGATGCTTTGTGTGATGTTAACGAGCGTACAACCTGAGTGTGACTGGCAGGGGAGAGAAATTCCCAGCCATGCGAAGTGGAACAAGTGAATCGTATTGCAAAAGAAAACGTTAGATCGTGGATTCATAGCAGCAGAACTAGTAGATAGAATTGGAGTTAAAGGATGCTGCTTCCACCCAACCTATGACTTTTGAAAGCAAAACGTGACAAACTTATGCAACGAAAAAGAGGATCATTAGAGCCAATCAGCTCAGATAACCAAGTAACGCTCTCTACTGCGAAGGAGTACGTCGGCTGCCACACTGATAACAGCAGAAGCGGAATACATGGCGCTGTTCAAACCGCTGGAAATCATCCAAAACACGATCAGCATTCTTAGCATTTCACAAGATAGCTCATAAGTAATTTCATTCGAAGTAATGTACGCTGGAACACGACTGGCCAACACTACACCCAAGAAAGATACTGATAGACTGCGTGGCTAGAAGCAAACATGTGGCTACCGGAATTCGAAAAGAAAGCCAATAAGGCGTAAGGTAGATTTGAAAGCTCAGACACCAGTTGTGCAACTCGCTTTGTCTCTGGATTTAACGAAGACCAGTAGCTATGGGGCAACAAAATCCGGAACTTCAACAGTCGCCGGAACAAATGCTATTGGTGCGACCTAATGGACCACCAAACCGTAGCCACCGTTCACGTAGACAAATAAATAAAAGCAAATAGATTGAGATATTTCGGGTGACCGGGACATACATCGCGTTGAGAAGTGAGCAACGATTTAACCGATGTTCCCATTGAACACCAGCGCACAAAATAAGAAGACCACGGATCAGCTTGTTCACCTAGCCGTCTTTTGCAATTGATGTCTTCTCCGGGATTATTTTCTCAGTTAAAGGATAAAAGTTGTGTCCGAAAAGTTAACTCTCTGCCGTGTTCGGCTTCCACTTTACAGTAACTGCATTGATAATAATATATATATATATATATATATATATATATATGGAGAGAGAGAGAGAGAGAGAGAGAGAGAAGGTAACAGGGTGAACAATGCATAGCGGGAAAGTGGGCCAAGTCTTGTGACCCAAAAAGGGATATCATCCCTTCGGTGGACCACGGGCAAACGCCAGTCTCCAATGAGTCCCCTTTTTCTTCACATAAAAGAACTTCGTCGAATCCGGCCATCTAGTTTCTCTTTAACGGGGAAAATTCAAGGTTGATCGCTTGAAAAAGTAGGGGATGCGTTCAAACGTAATATGCGAGTTCAAGTAATTCTGTGAATGAGAGCGTCACTACATGCCTGGTGAAGAACGGATCAGCATAAGACTCTCCTTGAGCGCCTAAATTAAGTAGTTGGGAATGGATTAGCTATTTGATATCCGACTGAGGGCACCGTTGGGCCCGCAACCTGAATGAGTTAGCATAGAACTCGGATTTGTCCATGTCACGAGCATTCATCACCTACAAACGCTATGTAGCGTCCAAACCAACGAAGAGTTATACCAGCATCGATGTGGATTTTAAGACATAAATCATGTGTGGAGGAGGCGAAACACTGGCTTATTGGTCTAATGTAGAGTGTATAAGATGTGTTAGGGCGAGGTAATGAGTGTTGAATCTGGTCGTGTATGCGCTATGGCGCCTGCAAACCGCGTTGGCATCTAGTGAGAGAACCTAATACACTATACTAAAGTTCGTCAAATAACGTCTGACAAAGAAACTTCTAGCACTGAACTGGACTGTCCGTTGAACGCACATAAACGCTACTGGCCAACATGGTATCCTTCGAATGGCTGCGGCATAGGAAACATCGATGTTATGTGATTTCTAATAGCAGGTCTAGTTGGGTGGAACTTCGGAGCAGTACAACACTGACACAGCTCAGACATGAGGAAATTGAACGAGGGACAATCGGTCTGGAGCTTGTCGCTTCCCTAAACAGCAACTTCATGAACCGACAGTGTACCGGTCATCAATCTCAGCTGACATTGCTAAAACACGAAACCACTAGCTATATACTCAAGCTCTCGTTCCAAAAGCTGGATTCTTGCCATCGGATAGTCTCGAGCAGTCTACAACCGTCCGAAAGCACATTTTACCAGATTTTCTAAAAAGCCTTCCTAATTATAATGCGAATGGGAACAACTGGGTTCATCGGATTTCCATAGCATGTATGCGATTGCTTTGGGAGGCAGTGCAAGCCAGTGAAGCATCGAGATGGCCACTGCAGTGACGTGGCATGACCATAGTGGCGAAGTTTTATGGTGGATACTGAGGGAACACGATCGGTAAATACTTCGACTGACGGTCAATTTCACTTGTTTCGCTCACAGCACAACCGTTTCTGCCCCGAGAAAGTAAGAACAAGTAACATCAGATTGCACAGTAAGCAGTGAATAAAACAAACATGAAGTCCGGGCCTTAGAATGGAAAGGCTAGCGTTCTTGTTACTAATTTACTTTCCTCCCCAGATGGTTCAAAACCGTCAGAATAAAGTACAATGTTCCAAAACGATGAGGAGAAAAACCAGTTAGACTAATAATTCTCAACAGATGAGTTTGACTCATCCAAGGATGCTATATATATATATATATATATATATATATATATATGAATGGCTGTTGTTTGATATCACAGGTGTTGCTGCGCTTGATGTGCATGTTGACAAGGTACCTACCTGTCTATTACCCACTACCTCGTTCATATTGGCTCCAGGAGACAGTTGGTCGTTGCTGGAGGGGACGGGGTGCACGGTCCTTGTGGTCGTGCTAGGCTCAAAGAGCGGTTCCATGCAGTCAGTGTGGAGCGGACTACGGTCCAGCCACCGCCTGGTGTGCGCTTGATTTCTCAAATACAGCGGTGCTTGTGTTTGCCTGTGAAGGAGTGTGGGCCGGCTCCGTTGAGGAAACGTGGTTCCCATCCGCATGCCTCCCGGTCTTATTCCTTCGGGTTTACACTGGATATGGGGTGTGTGGTTGGAGCTGCGAGTGGTGCAGCGCAAGCCATCCATGGTCCCTCTGTAGGCGCAGGCGTCCTATGGCTGCTGGCCACAGTGACAGGCAAATCCGAAACCGGATGCCGCCAACCATTATATATATATATATATATATATATATATATATATATATATATATATCCAGTGTAAACCCGAAGGAATAAGACCGGGAGGCATGCGGATGGGAACCACGTTTCATCAACGGAGTCGGCCCACACTCCTTCACAACCAAACACAAGCACCGCTGTATTTGGGAAATCAAGCACACACCAGGCGGTGGCTGGACCGTAGTCCGCTCCACACTGAGTGCATGGAACTTCTCTTTGAGCCTAGCACGACCACAAGGACCGTGCACCCCGTCCCCTCCAGCAACGACCAACTGTCTCCTGGAGCCAATATGAACGAGGTAGTGGGTAATAGACAGGTAGGCACCTTGTCAACATGCACATCAAGCGCAGCCACACCTGGGATATCAAACAACAGCCATTCACTTTAAACGACAAGCTGAAATAAAATAAATCCAATAATGCATACAGATACGGTGGCATAACTCTTCGCTAGATTACCATATGAAGTAAGTTGGTTAGCAACGAATCCGTGATAAGTAAGAAATGTCCACATCTTACTTAAAAATGCTACAAACTCAACAAAATTACCGAAGATGAGTGCAATTAGCGTAAGCAACGTCGCCAGTTAATAAGGACATTATTCAGGTAGGCAGAATAAACCAAATAAAGTGGAATGAAATTTATCCAGCTTAAAAAGACCTAGTTTAAGTGTAAGTTCGTTTAGCCCAACTGCGGTGAAAAAGCATCAAGAATGCAACACTATATATATATATATATATATATATATATATTCGTAACACTGCCAATTACCCTACAACAGGCTGAGTGGCACAACACATAATGGAGAAAAATAGACTAAAAGAGAAAGCAGCTGTTAGTGTAGAAGAGTCTCACAGCAAGTGCGCCATTGCGTGCAGTCCTTGGCCATATCCTCCAGTGTTTGCAA